AAAACAAAGAAAACATAGATGGATGATCAATGATACATTACTGTTAAAGCAAACATTAATTTTGTAAATATTCATTTAAACTGTATGGTTCCAAATTTAATAACATTTTGTGTATATATTTTTTGTACTGGGATAAACTCTGGGTATTTTTCACCTCTTGAGGGAGTTTATTATAGAATTTTATGCAAGTATAATGAACATTCTTCTCAGTTAATGTTAAATGATGTATGGGAAAGATTAAATTTGTATTTCTAGTATAGTAAAAGTTAGTTTGAAAACATTCCCTAAATAAATTCTTATTTTTAAAAGTGAAAAGTAAAATTTCTTGGATATATACGGCAAAAACTGTTAATAAACCATTTGACCTAAATCTTCCACGGCAAGACACACTTTGTGCGAGCCTCAACAAACACCTCAAAGTTCTTTTTTGAGAAATGAACAACCTATTTATGTGGATACTTTGACCAAAGAAAATTATTCCATATCGGAATACAGACTCAAAATTTGCATAATAAATCACTTTGAGGGTTTTGAGATCCAAATACTTAGTCAACACCCTAATACTATAGCATACACTATTCAACCTTTTTTCAATGCACTCGATATGAAAGGACCAACTAAGTGTGTCATCTAAGTGTATTCCAAGAAACTTCATATTTTCTTCCACTTTGCAGCTCATAGTGTTACTTAATTTGAAACTGTCCGGAGATATATAGCTGCTTTGTCTTGTTTTAAATAACATAACTTTTGTCTTATCCTGATTTACAACTAATTTATTTTTACTGCACCAATCAAGTATTCTATTGTAAACATATACAATTTTTTCTCGTATATCACTAAAATTTGACCCACAAATAAGAACGGTTGTATCATCAGCATACTGGACACAATAACCCTTTGTGCCGTCAATGTGTAGTGGCAAATCATTTACAAAAATCAGAAACAACAGCGGTCCCAGGATACTCCCCTGAGGAACCCCAGTTGTAATTGGTACATACATCGAAGAGCAGGTTATCCCACTTTTAGTAATAGTGACCTTTTGTCTACGATTCGTTAAATATGACCGAAGCCAATCCAGAAGACTGCCACGGATCCCCATTGCCTACTGAGATGTAATATTATATGCAATGTCTTGGAACTACATTCACGCAGCACTACTCATTCACTATGCAGCAATTGTCAACAGCTGAACAATATCTGAACTGGTTCCCACGTTGCTAGTTTACATTACATTGCTCTCTTTTCAGAAAAATCTCTGAAATTTCAGTTTCATAGCTTTTTATGGTTGTGTAAATGTATTTACAGTTGCTAGAAAAATTATTCTAATCTGCAAACTTCCACAAAGATTATCATATTTTTTACAAACAAAATCATGAAATGCATGTTAAATATTTTGTGAGTCTTTTCAAGAAAAATAGGAAATTATCCCATTTTAAACTTTTTCTGTTTAAAAATTAATAAGCCCCTTAAAATAAACTGAATCTAATGAAATTAGATGTACAGCTATGGACATTAAAAACTTTCTAACTTAAACTTTATGGTCGTTCGTAGAACAGGGATTTAATGAATAATTTATTTTTTTGTTCTTTGTTCTAACTGCCCAGAATGTCAAAGTTGCTATCGCAGCCTGCAGCATTTACATAATTTTAAACCGCATTTTATTAAAATATTGAAGTGTGTTTTCAGTTTGTTTTTTAAGTTTTACTCGAAAAGCATAAGACAGTAGTAATTTGTAGAAAATTGAAACACGGATCCGAAAATATCATAGTTGTTACCATAAAGCAGAGACGAACTATTTTATTTAGAAAAATATATCACCGATACCCTGTATCTCCGCCACTGGAGCATAAAAATTTTAGGAAAAGGCCTCGGATTTTGGACAATGTTTACATAAATACATCTACCCCATTTCAAATTACTTCACTTACTAGTTTTTGTATTATTTAAAAAAATTAAAAATGTTTTTTTAAGTTTCACACCCTATATCTTTTTAATGAACCATAAAAAACTTTATACGAAAGACTGCCCTTAAAATTCGCCTAAGAATAGGAGGTTTTATTTTTGGTCAACGTTTGTGAATCACCCTGTATAAAAATGTTTATTATTACTAAAAATTATTTGACTTTTTTCATACAAGTTTGCTTTGATATAAAAATTAATCTCTTATCTGATTTATAGTCGCTACTCCTACTTTTATTCTAAAAATAATTTTATATGCCGTAATGCGGACTCCAAGGAGACTGCAATAAAAAGGATTATAGTGGACCAGGCTAGGCTCCAAATCCCGGCTCCGAATCGTTCTTATCTGCTATACCTGGATTGTCTTGGCAATAGCTCTTAACTTGCATTCAGATAAAGTCTTGCTTTTTACACACTTTTTGTTTTTATAAATGCGTAATTAAAAATATCAAAAATTTTTCAATTTTTTTGTGAAATACGGTTTTTACAATCGTTACTTTTCAAATAATTTGTAGAAAAACATCATTTATTCATAAAATTTCATTAATATAAATATAACGTATAAAGTTGAATGATATGTACGGTAAACATGTGTGCATGGGGAACCGCGGAAACATGCACGTGCATATCATATGTTCTGCGCCCGTCGCATCGATATCCAGCAGATCATAAAGTAGCGCTTATAAAAGTGTCGCATACCTACATTTTATTTCCAAAGTCTATGCAAGCACGCGGCTACTGTACATTTAAGAAGCCATTTGTTTTTATTGAGGTGCAGTAAGAACGATTTGGACCCGGAATTTGGAGCCTAGCCTGGTCCACTATATAATCATTTTTATTGCAGTCTCCTTAGAGTCCGCATTAGACATATAAAATTATTTTCAGATTAAATTGTGCATTCCAGATTTTGCGAAAAAAAATAAGTGAGTAGTGACTGTAAATCAGATAAAAGAGTGCTATTAATTTTTATATCAAAGTAAACTTGTATGAATAAAACCCGCCGTGGGCTATTTTAATATATTTATTGCCATTTATTATAGGTGATAGTAAGAATCTAGAAATTTAAATGACAAATATTTATTCATCAATAATTTTCACAATAAAAGGCACATTCCTGTAGTAGAAACTAAAGTAGAACTGACAGACAGATTGAACTAGCAATTTTTCTGTTCACTATGAAGAAAAGGCACAAAAAAACCAGACGACATTCTATTTACTACCACAACCATTGATCTTTTTTTATGTAGTATGTAAGTCGAATTTTATGCGCCTTTGTGTGGATTTTGATTATGAAAATACTTATTATTTTACCTACCATTAACTAATCCTTTCTAGGTTTGTAAACATCCTGTATAATTATTTCAAATAAACATTGACAGCATGAGCATAATTGGTAAGAGTCGACCTCTAGGGACAGCAAAATTGACTTGGTTTTAAGGCTCCCCACAAACATGTTTCTTTAGATTAGGTACCGTCTCGTCGGTATAGCAATTATAGAATAGTCGGCAGATGGCTGAGAAGCAGGTTGTGTTCTCGATCACAATGCTTTCTAGATCACATAACAAAAATTTTAATTTTTACATAATTTTAAACATGTATAATTAATTTGTAACATTAAAGAAATAATTTTATTTTACCATTGTTAATTATTGTCGGTTATAGACTACAGATTTATACATCTCTAAAAGAAATTAAATTTTTACGCAAATATCTGCTTTACCCGCGTTAGAAAGATCGCATTTATATTGGTCACTTCCTGTTTCACTTCAGTGTCCACGTTTATCCAGAACATGGCGTAACATTGATATTTTGTTATTTTAGAACAACAGTGCTACCGATGACTCTGTTATATGCGGACCATGTTTTGATTCCCTTCATACTCATGGCAGTTTTTTAAAGAGCTGTCTTGAGGCACAGGAAAAATATAAAAGTGCTTACGGGCAGCCTTATATTAAATCTAAGGAATTTGAAATAAAACTGGAAGATGGTCAGGATGTGCAGGAGACATATAAAATCATTAACAAACAGACTTCTCTTAAATCTGAAAAGATTGAAATAAAACTGGAAAAAGATGGTCAAGATGAACAAAAGGAATGCAAGAATGTTTATATTAAATCCGAAGAGATTGAAATAAAAGTAGAGGAAGGCGGTCAGGACGGGTGGTAAGGAATTTTTGTAATTTTAAAATTTATTGCACTGCCCTTTCAAGATTTCTTTTTTATAGAGAGGTATATTTTCCAGTCTTGAGATGATTTAAACAATTTATTACAATCATCGATTTTTCATTAAAAAATCAGTTTTTAAAGAAAATTTTAACCTAACAATACCTACAATTTGAAAACAAAAAAGTACATTCTTTAATTAGATAACGGCAACATAATAACTATTGTATTGTCTGGAATAATTTGTCATTTTTTAAAATTTTTTGGTTATTTTGCCACACTACTCTTAAAAGCAGTAAATAAATTCCTGACACACCTTTGTGGCTTCAAAAATAAAATTTGTTGATTTTTAAACTAACAGTATTTTTGAGTTATGTAAACTAAGCCACCAAACTTTATAAAAAGCAAGCTTTGTATCTTTTATTGATACGATCTTCAACAGATAATATATTTCTCAAAACTCCTACTTGATTTTTAATGTTTATTTCATTACTATTTTTCAGCGATTCCTGTTCATGTAACTTAAATAAAGAAACAGTTGAAATTGAAAAGAGACACCTTTCAAAGGACGTGGGAGAAATAAAGAGTGAATGTAAATGTGAAACGGGATTTAATGAAAGCCTTACGACATCCTTGTCGGTTAACAACATCCAAAAACCCAATACCGAAAAGTTTACATTTCAGAATTGTGACCCTTCATCAGATACACAGTTGTACCAATGTGATAAATGCAAATATAAAACAAAACTTAAGGCGAGCTTGAAGAGGCATCAGATTACACACAAAGACTTTTCAGAAGTGCCAATTTACTTGTGCGATAAGTGCCCGTTCAGGACAAAGTATAAGTTTCTTCTCAAAACCCACCAATTAAATCATGAAAACCCTTCGGGAATCCTAACGTACAAATGCGATATTTGTACTTATGAAACTAAATACACTAGTCATTTGAAAAGGCATCAGTTGTTGCATATAAACTCTTTGGAAATCGAAATGTACAAGTGTGATACATGTGTTTATAAAACTAAATATAAGAATCACCTAAAAGTACATCAATTAACGCACAAAGACGCGTCGGAAATCCAAATGTACACCTGTGGTACGTGTAGTTTTGAAACTAAGTATAAAGTTGTTCTAAACAGGCATCGGTTAAAGCACAAAAGTGTTTCAGAAATTCAAATGTACAAGTGTGATACTTGTACGTATGAAACTAAATATAAGAGTCATCTAAAAGTGCATCAGTTATCACACAAGGATTCTTCGGAAATTCAAATGTACAAGTGTGATGTTTGTCGTTTTGGAACTAAGTTTAGAAGCAATCTGAAGTCACACCAATTGAAACACAAAGAATTTGCACATGTCGAAATGAACAACCATCAACTAATTAAGAACCCTGCCGCAATACAAATGTGGGAAAGTGATACACACGGTGATATTGGTGATAAATGCCATCTTGCATGTCATCTGTCAATACATAAACGTTCAAACATCCAAGTATTCAAGTGTAACGAGTGCGTTTTTGAGACCAAACATAAACAGAACTTAAAGATTCACATGTTCAAACACCAGGATCCGTTGACAGTGCAACTGTACAAGTGTGATAAATGTGTTTTCCAGACAAAGCACAAACGCAATCTCATTAGACACCAGTCAGTACACAAAAATCTTTTGGGACTGTAATTTTTCGAGCACTTATGAAGACTAAATTTTAATATATCAGATAAGCATGAACATAAACAATTTGGAATGATAAATGATGATACAAATTGACAGAAAGATTCAAATATACATAAACAATAAGGAGCCCGATATTATACAAGTACAAGTACTTTCATATGCATTTTGCGTACATTTTTCTTTTTTTTTGTGCGTTTGTATATGCAATAGGCAGTATACAGGGGAAGTCATAATTAGGTATAAAACAGAAAAAGTTATGGCCCATCAAAGATTTTCTGTTGTTTTTTATTTATTTATTTTTTATAACTCCGTCATTTTTTAAGATAGTTCAATGAAACTTGGCATTGGGGTGTTTTTGGAATGGCCAAACATGAATATAAGGTTATTGTTTACAACGTTGAAATCTTCTTGAACCTTTTGTTTAATATTAAAATATATTTATTTTCTTGGGAATTGGGTTCTGGTGTGATAGTCGGTTTAAAAAAGGATAAAAAAACAGCATTGATTTTTTGACGTTTCGTTCCTGATCAGGAACTTTTTCAAAAGGCTTTTATTGTTAAAATTGTTATAATTAATAAATTAAAAACCTAAAACAAACAAGAACTTAATCAATATTTAGAATTTTTTCCCTGTAATTACAATTAATTTAATAAGAATATAATTTCATTAATACATGCCTAAACAACAACCATTTTACGTTAAAAATTAAAAAACGTGTATCAAAACATCAATTTTTGTTTTGACGGAAATATTATTTAGAAACATACAGCTTAACTCAATAATGATACGTAAGATGTAAAAGATTTTCACATTTACACACCTATGATATTTAAAATGAATGAAATGAAGAAGATATTTAATTAACGGACAAATATTTCCTGACAATTCTTTATTTACAACTGCTGTCTATTATGTATTTGTTTTATTTAAATAAATATTATTTTTAAATGCATGTTTTATTAAACCCCCATATATTTATTTTATTCATGTAAACTAACAAATAATAACATTTTTCCGATATACTTGTGTGTCCGAGGACCCAGAATAAAATGTTAGGAGTAAAATCAAACACCCATAACCCATATGCTACTCTCGGCAGCTTGTAGATCTCTGCCCAAATATATTTTTTAAATTATAATAGCACACAAAAATTATACATTATTCTGGCAAAAATAAGTTTACGTAAACGTTTCTCAATATAGGTCGGCTCATCAGAACATTTTTGCTTGAGTTTTTATAACTGAAATAAACTGGAAGACATGATATGCAGGCTAATTCATTGAACACAAATGTAACAAGAAACGTAATGGGCAAAAAATTTTTTAATTTTGGAATGGGGCTTGAGGTCGAGTATTGCTTCTAAAACTAAGGTATACGAGAAATTAGTTTATTTGGTGTTCTATATGGTGTTTTATATCAGTTGTAATAATTACCACTAATAAAACGCCTTTATTTTCCAAGATATGAATTCCATTAAAGAGTCATTTATAATGCAGTTTAGTACTTCCCCGCCATTCAAAAGCACATGATCAATTTTGGTTGTACATGTTTATAGAAAATTGCACTCTAAATAAATATTCATAGTGGAATTTTTTGACATCTTAGAAATCTCCCTTAATAAAGTACTTTTATTAATGAAGAATTTTACAAATTCGCTTATAAAATATACCCTGTAGAACATCAAATCATCAGTTTTTGTAACTTTAAGTTTTACAACAAGCAGGACTTCGTCCCCAAATAATAATTTCAAATTAAAAAAGATTTTGCCTGTAAAACCTCTCGCTACTTCTATCCTGGTCCACACCCTAGACCCACACGCACGGATATATCGGTATACAGGGTGTTTCTTGATGTACAAATATTTTAAGGAAGTGTTTAGAAAGTAATTTTAGAGGAGGTGCTTCCTACATATTTTTTTTATTTGACCTCCCCCCACCCCCTGAGAATATATTCAAATCTGGCTGAAAAAATGAGCTTTTATTTTTTTTCATGAACACGGTTAAACTTACAAATTTGAATTTTAATACACGATAACAACTAGTTGAATGGAATTTTTTAGTAGTTTTTTTTCTGGTTTATGTCTTTGAATGAAAGAAATTAGCACCCCTTGGTTTTATTTCTCCCACAACTTTTTCCTGCGTTAGCCAATTCTAACAAGATCGAAAAATAATTTTGCTCTTCCCAGTTTTTCATATACTTAATGGTTTACGAGCATAAAAATAAATTATTTTTCCTTGCCGATTAGGTACACATAATTAGTATAACAGTTGCCAAAAACGATCGTCATTTTTGACATGCTTTTAGCAAAAATTCTTTTTTATTGAATACGCCCGGTATATGTAAAAGAGATATCCTGGCGAACCGCTGGCGTTCGGCACCGTTTTTTGTTGAATATTTTTTATTATTTTTTTTAATTAGTAGCAGTTAGTTCGATTCACGCACGCATAGCATTTTGTTGTATATTTTGCTTCTTTGGAAATAATTAATAATAATTATTGTGTATAATTGGTTTTGTGAGTGAACCCTAGATAGAAGTCGAGTGCATCCCTTTTTCCCTTTTGCCCTCGACCTGAAGAAATCTCAACTGCATCACATTTTGGTGAGTTCGTTTAGTTTAGTTTTTTTATACAGTTCACTTGAAAAAGGCTATTTGGGCCCCACCATTTATCGATAGGGAAAACTAAGCAAATATGAACTAAATATTTAATATAAAAAAAATGAACGCTAATTTTTTCGTCCATTTTGAGATTTGAAAATTTTCTTAGGGGGGGGGGGCAAAAAATGTATTGGAAGTACCCCCCCCCCAAAATTACTTTTTAAACACCTTAAAATATTTGCACATCATTATGAAACACCCTGTATATTTAATGATTGCGAAAAATTGCCTGCGATGCAAGAATCGCCCGTATTAGGATCCACAATTATTTGTGAAAAAAATAGTCGGGGCACAAAAGTTGCAAATCTATATACGTCTCTAATCTAGGGTGGAGCTCTGAAAACAATATCCTGAATATAAACAAATCTTTGACAATATTGCCATCCATCGTCATTTTATGCATTAACTACGAAAAAAATTAAGGAGTCACCAGATGGCGCTGTAGATTGTAGTTTAAAATTTTTGTAAAACGAATTCTCGAACTTGTTTTATGTATGATGTTATCTTCTGAAGGGGGGGGGGGGAATCCCAACAAAAGTTCGGCTATCCTTTTTACCAAACGAAAAATCCCACAAAATCTCGACAGACTGACGCTATCCCAGGAACCCATCTCCTGGAATCGACAAACACGATACCTGGGCGTGACGATGGACCAGCGTCTCACGTAAAAACCGCACGTCGTGGAGACGGTAGCGCGTGCGAAGACCATCAGGGCTAGGCTCTATCCCTTACTCAAAGGTGGAAACACCCTCAGTTTAAGGAATAAGCGAACGCTTATCAAGTTGGTACTTCAACCGCAGCTAATAACCTACGCCTCCACGGCGTGGGGTCACGCGGCAAAAAGCCACTTAAAGACATTACAGGCTGTGGAAAACATAGCCCTCCGCACGGCCACCGACGCGCCCTGGTACGTAAGAAACACTGACATATTACGAGACTTACAATACACAAACGCTACACAGACAATAAGACAAAACGCGGAGAAACGGTTTGACGTAGCCGCTAGACATGACAATCCCCTCCTCAGGCAAGCCGTTGACTACGTACCCGACGTGACCGACAAACAAAAAAAAAACATAGACACCAACTTTTTGACCCTGGGTGACCACCCCAATGACCCTCCCCCCCTGCCCGCTAACCTTTTCTGTTTCAGAGACAGCCAGGATCAAGAAACGAAGACAACGACACACACACACACACATACACACCCCCCATACCCTCCTTACCCCTCCCCTCCCGCGCTAGCCTAAGGGCCACCTTAGCAAAGCGCATCCCAGGCTGCATAGCCGCACTACCCTACCCAACCATACCACACATAAACATGACACTACCCCCGGGGTTTACACAGACGAGCCGGCGAAGCAAGAAGAGCGCCAGAAGAAAGGGCTCTAGCTGGCGGGGCCCAGCCAGGACAAAAGGAGGTCCCACAAAGCGCCTACACCGGCCGCATTTGCGGTCGGGGTAGACGACGCATAGGGGAGACGAAGGCTGTCCAGGCCTACACGAGATGAGGCAGGATAAAGAGGGATAATCCCCCTCGATCCCAAATCATTTCTAGCCATGGAATAATGGCGTATCTTCTGGAGAATAAGAACAGAAAAACTACATATATAATCGTCACATATGTTAAAATGAGAATTTCGACTATCAAACTTACATTTTCTGACCACTGAAACATTACTAAACAGTTGGTCCATCACATGGTACAGGCGAGTCAGCCACTTCAGTATATTATATAGGGCCAAGAATATTCATTAATATCCTTGATCTAGGGACCAGCTAAACGAATTTAAGCGGATAGACCATGATTTTCCAGCACAACCCCCAAAAAAATATATCTAAATCGCGTAGTTTGTCAATGTATTATGAGGTGTAAAAATGGTCGATTTTAGAAGTTCCAGCAGGCTTATACATTTTTTTGTCGGCCGTTTGGTACTTAAAAAAAACTGCGATTTTAAACAACTGGTTGATTTATGATGGTCGGAAACAGATTTGTAAATATAACCAAACTATGGGACCTTCGAGGTTTGCCATGAATTTGGGGTCGCTGGCTGTTTGTCGTTGACGCAGTCTTCTCTGTATTTAATCTATGGATTTCATCTAAGTTTGTGGTTACGGGAATTATTTGTAGGTTATGGTTACGCAGAAAATTTGTTTTGTCTTGATTGCTTTGTAGAGAAAATGCAACCAGTAAACATTAAAAAAATGTGCAGACTGTGTCTAAATATAATAAACTATACAAATTGCGAAGTAATAGGAGAAATGATAAGAGAGGTTCTAGAAGTTGTTTTGCCGAATCTAGTAAGACTAAGTTTTATTCCTAGATATAGTTCTGTTAGTATTTCTAATTATAAATATATTTCAGAACTTGGAGGAGCGAGATAGACATGTAATGTGTATAGCATGTTCCATAAAATTGTCCGCCGTTTTTAATTTTAAGTCGACATGTATGGATACTGAAGATATTATTTCTTCATATGTTAATTCCGGTGCAGTATCAGTGGTTGATTTAAAAGAGGTTTATCTAAAAGAAAAAGGCAATATTCAGTTAACTGATATATCGGAAAATCAGAAAATTTGTCGTTTATGTATTCAGTTGTTAACATGTGGATTTGTGTCACTAAATGAAGTGGGCGGTGACATAATTGATGAGTTTATGCCACAACTCGTAAGTATGTTTCAAAGTACTTTTTAAGAAAATGTTCGTGCATCGAAATAGGGTTGTTCTATAAATGAAATTTTATATAAGTGTTAGGTATAGGCAATTTTTTTTCAAATTTTGACTATCCCTCTATTTTCAAATAATTGTTTTTAAGTAAATTATGTGCGGACGAACCTAGTTTTCGAGAAAAAAATTTTCAAAATTCTAACGTCTGTAGACCTGTAATTAGAGTTCTAGGAAACATATTTTTCCTTTTTTAACAAAATATTTGTACAGGGTTACAACTTTTTAATTGTCCAATACAGTATCTTTCTTGTTTTAAAAGATACAGAAATGGTTAAATGAGCAAGAATTGTACCGGATTTTATGGCGATCATGGATTCGTTTTTAAATTTAGGAAATTCTGAATAATTTCCGAGATATTCGAAGGAATCTGATTTTATACAATTTTATTTTTAGTCGTATTTCACTTGTTTTTTTAAATTTTAGGACAAAAATGTGTAATCTGATATAAAATGATGTGAGGAATCGATTTTTGCTGTCAATATTAACGGATCTCTAAAAAACATTTTTTTGTGAAAACCTCATTAATTTACATCGTTATAAAAATAATTTCCCATTACTTCTATTGAGGCAAAAATTCAATATGGCGTCCATAACAAAAACAAAAGTTAACTACTGCTCAGCACACATTTTTAGGGATACATTAAAACTAACAGCAAAATCGATTCCTCACATCATTTAATATCAGACTACACATTTTTATCCAAAAAATTTGAAGAAATCATGTGAAATACGAAGCAAAAAAGAAATAGCATAAAATCGGTTTCCTTCGAATCTCTTTGTAACTATTCGGAATTTTCTAAATTTAAAAACGAATCCTTGATCGGCATAAAACTTTGCACATTTTTTATCATTTAAGCATTTCTGTACCTGTTAAAATAAGAAAGATACCTGTATTGAACAATTAAAAAGTTGTAACTCTGTATATCATTTCACTTTCGAACCGCCATTTCTCTCCATAGCGAAGTGATGATTAATAATTAAAACTAAGAATTTCCCACGAATTTACCTAAATTGACTATACATACAGGCATATCTGTGTTGCCAATATGCCAGTACCAACAATGGCTGATGGCAAGGGGTAACACAAACAATTGATTAATGGAATTAATACTAATACATTTTTTTATTGTAGAAAATAAATGCTACTAGGGACCCTGTTGTATGTCAATCATGCTTTGATTCACTTCGTACTCATGGTAGTTTTATAAAGAACTGCCTTGATGCACAGGAAAAATATAAAAATATCGATAAACAGTCTCATATTAAAACTGAAGAGATTGAAGTAAAACTGGAACCGGAATATTTCCCAGACCATCGTCGAGATGTGCAGGAGATATATAAAAGTGCCGATAAAGAGTCTGAAGATACAAAAATAAAACTGGAAGATGGTCAATATACGCATGAGAAATATGAAAGTGGTGATAAGCAGTCTCCTATTAAATTTGAAGAAATTGAAATAAAAGTAGAAGACGATCAGGATGGGTAAGAAAATATCAATATATTTTTTAATTTATAATTTATTACTCTTTTTTTGTATTGTGACAGTGAGCTATTTCCTAAACAATGACATTGAAATCTGCTTTTTTTATCGATTTTTCAAAAGCTCTTATTTTGATTTGTGTTTCATTTTATTTTTTCAGTAATTCACCTTTATACGACTTAGATGATGAAACAATTGCAAATGGAAAAGATGTGGGAGAAATAAAGAGTGAACATATGTATGAATGCGAGGCAGGATTTAATGAAAACTGTAGGGTGTCGATGCAGGTTCGCAATATCCAAACATGCAATAGCAAAAAGTCCAAATTTCAAAAGTGTGAACCTTCATTAGACATGCAATTCCACCAATGTGACAAATGCAAATATGAAACTAAGATTGAAACGGACCTGAAAACACATCAGTTGATACACGAAGAACCTTCAAAAATCCAAATGTACAAGTGTGATATGTGTAATTTTGAAACTAAACGTAAGAGTAATCTGAAAGGGCATCAGTTAGCACACAAGGATTCTTCAGAAATCCACATGTACAAGTGTGATACTTGCGCTTATGAAACTAAATATAAGAGTCATCTAAAAGTGCATCAGATACAGCACAAAGACCTCTTGGAAGTTCGAATGTACAAGTGCGATACTTGTGGTTTTGAAACTAAATATAAAAATTGTATAAAAAGCCATCAGTTGAAGCACAAAGACTCTTCAGAAATCGAAATGTACACGTGCGATACGTGTGCTTACAAAACTAAATACAAGAGTGTTCTAAACAGGCATCGGTTAATGCACAAAGACCCCTCGGAAATCCAAATGTACACTTGTGATACCTGCCCCTATGAAACTAAATATAAGAGTATTTTAAACAGGCATCAACTAATGCACAAAAATGTTACAGAAATCCAAATGTACAAATGCGATGCCTGCCCCTATGAAACTAAATATAAGAGTATTTTAAACAGGCATCAACTAATGCACAAAAATGTTACAGAAATCCAAATGTACAAATGCGATGCCTGCCCGTATGAAACTAAACAGATGAGATATCTAAAAGATCATCAGTTAAAGCACAAAGATCCCTCGGAAGTCCAAATGTACAAGTGTGATGCCTGTAGTTTTGAAACTAAACGTAAAAGACTTCTAAAGTCACATCAGTTAATGCACAAAGATCTTTCTGAAATCCACATGTACAAATGTGATATTTGTACCTACAGAACTAAATATAAAAGTGGTCTAAATAAGCATCAGCTAATACACAAAGACACTTCGGAAATTGTAGGAGTGTGACATTCAGTTATGAATTGAAATGTTGCAATTGAAAAAGTACCAGTTAATACATGACACCCCTGCCACGACATGATTGTGGAAATATCCATCAGTACATAACCAAATATTATTTTATTTATTTATTTTAAAAATATATATGTTAAACACACCCAGATAAATGTGACAACTGTGTTTTTTAATTGAGTTATAAACACAATCACTTTTTTGAACTGTGTGTAAGTGTGCAAATGGTTATAGCGAGTATTTTTTTTAATCTGTCATTTAAGCATGAAGTTAAAGATTTTATTGCAGAGTGTTAAATAACCAGACGATCTCTAATGTAATGTTCTTAAGGCTATTTTAATGTTTTTTATACTGTCACTCGAGTAAATTTTGAAATAATGGTAGATGCATTTGTATAAGTTAGTAAGTGTAATAGTGTACTTTTCAGCTATTATTTTCTGTATTGTATTATTTTTTATAACTAATGTGGTTGAGGTTAGTAGCAGTTTTTCTCTAAAATTTCACCAGAATAAAGGTGTTTACTAATATTACTATTATTATTAAACATACACATGAACAATAGAAAGGAAAGCACATAAATACTTTACATGTTTGTGTACACAGGCACCAATGGCCTTTGACCAAATTTATAAACAAGTATGTCTGATATAACGAAATTTACATGTCGTTTGCAATGAGAAAAACAAGGAGAAAAAAAATTATCCTAGTTTTTAATCTAATTTCCATGCAGAATGTCGGCGAGTCGGCAATAAAATTATAGGTCCAACACCTGATAACAAAATTGTTATTCTGCATTTACAAAATAAAGGTAATCAATCTATCGGAATTTACGTAATTTAGAATAAAAAAATTGGGAAGCTAATTCTTAATATTTATTCGATTTAAATAAAAGATACTTCTGAATGGTGGAAATTGTTCAACCGAAAGATATTTAACATTTTGCTCATGTAAAAAATATACAAAGTAAAACAATAATTTCATAAGTGACATTATAAATGACAAAAACAAAACTAAATTGAATTTTCGCTTTTTATTTACAAGAGCAATTGTCAAGACGAGAATATCCCATATTTATTCTTTATTTAAAAACTCCAGAACAAAAATTGTCAATAATAAGCGCATCAATATTAGAAAACAAGAAAAAAATATATTTTCTCAAACAGAATAATTGATTAATATTCATTTAAGAAAGTATATTTTGGAATAAATACGTTTTTAGACATTTTGTTTCATTATTGTAATTTATCAATAAAAATTTTTATTATTAACAGTTACTAATTTTATTTTTCATTACAAATCAATCTTCTACCATGACTATTAATGTCATTAATCATTTGGTCAATATTTCTTCGTTTGAAATTGATTTGAAATACTACTCTGAATATTCGTCGTATATACCTTCATACATAAACTGAAATGAATAATGCAACCCTTATTTGGATATCGCGTGCAATAACAGGATTAAATATAATATAAAAAAGTACCATCCTCCGGAAGTAGTAAATCGTATCATATAATACCTTATTTCTTTTAATACAAAACCAGATGTACAACTTATAAGTAAGTAGGTAATAATCAAAACTTCGAAAAAGTTACTAATTAATATTTTGAGAGAGAGAGAGAGAGAGAGAGATGCCAATGGATAATGCCCTTTACCCATAGATTAATCTTCAAGGGACGGGCCTCATAAAATTTCATATCAGGCGGGCCGGGGTCCAAATGGACCCCGTGATGAAATATCAAATTTCTTAGCTGTGCTTGAGGAATCATTAAAAATACAATTTCTTATTTCTGTTATATTGACTGTCCAGACTACAAAGTTAAAGGTTAAGAAACGGAGCTCGTCTGTTGATTTTCGCACTTCCCTAGTCTGAAAGTTATCAAATCGTAAGAACATTGTAATTTCTTCGTACGTGTCTCTTAACATAGCAGCAGGTACTATGGGACGGTTGTAAGCTATATCCTGTCACCAAAGCATATCAATGGATTCTTTTGAACAATGCAGTGGACCCAATGTAAGAAGGAGCCCAATATAAGCTTTGATTTCGATAGCCTTCAACAGGCATACAACTTCTAGGATTGTTAGGATTTTTGTTATTCCATTCCTTATAAAAATATTCAGCTTTCCTGTTTGTCCCACAAACGATCATGTCAATAATCTTACGACTAAAAAATAGAAGAAAAGCATCTTGCATGTTAGAAATAGTAGAGCTATAAGTTGTCAGTCCAGCAGTTTTTTGAATATTTGTTTTTGGTAGTTTAGCCTATGTCTTTATTGGTATCTTCAATCATTCACTTCCATCTTTTGCCACATATTTCGAAAAATCTTTAGTATAACTGCGAGATTCTGTAGGAACACTTTCTGCAACGGCTTCAAACTCGGCTTGGATCTGCTGATCAACGATAATTATATGCTCCACTTGATTTTCTTCCGTTACGACATCTATTTCCTCTATGTCTAGTAACCATTTCATAATTTTCAAAATCCCTATCATCATTCTCAAGTAAATACAAGAGTTCTTCATCAGTAAAGCGTCTGTTACCTCGAAATTGTGGCATAGTATTCGCACAACGAATCAGGTGATGCGTGTTGTAGCTTTTGATTGGTGAAACAAATTCGCCAGTTTACCCGCGTCCACACAGATTTCCAAAAATTTTAAATTATTGTAAAAGCGGGCTGAGGTCTAGACGGACCCCAGACCGAAAAAATTAATATATAATTGAAACTGAAACGAATACATATGAAATAATATAATAGGCTAATGAAAAAAAACACAAACAAAAGATATATAGCCGCTCAATATACAAAATCGAATATCAGAAAAGTTCTCAACTCTCTCGGTTTCGAAAATACAATACCTATGTATGTTTTCAGCCACGAAAATTGAATAATTCCAAACATTTCGAATTTTAACCACCAAGAACGGCGGTGACAACATTTTTAACATTAAGGCGATATTTCGCATTGTATTAGCTATGTCCTGTCCAAATTTGGTTAATGCAACTCTCTCGATTTCAAAATACAATATCTATGTACGTTTTCAGCCATGAAAATTGAATAATTCCAAATATTTAGAATTTTCACCATCAAGAACGGCGGTGACAACATTTTTAATATTAAGGCGATGTTTCGCATTGCATTGCATATGTCTTATCCAAATTTGGTTACTGCAACTCTCTCGGTTTCGAAAATTCAATACCTATGTATGTTTTCAGCCTCGAAAATTGAATAATTCCAAATATTTCGAATTTTCACCACCAAGAACGGTGGTGGCAACATTTTTAACATTAAGGTGATATTTCGCATTGTATTAGCTATGTCCCGCCCAAACTTGGATTTTTTTTATTAGAGGCCTCCATAGAGTTTGCGGCAGCCCTGGGCCCCCTGAGCCCCCCCCAAGCAAAAATCCTAGCTACGCCATTGCAACTTGTAACAAATTGATAAGAAAATATGATTTGTAACTAATTTATGGACAGTAAAATACACAGTATTTACATTTTACATTTAGATCATGAAACTACAAACACAAATTGTGTTATGTTTTGTGTACAAAACAGACAAAACATGGGAGAAAGGAGAACAATTAATAAAAGCCCGTTCAGCGAATTGTTTAACTTGCTTGGTTTATCATTTGAAATCAGAGTTGTGACTGCTCACGATCAGTTATCCTGGGGCCCACCTACGAAGGCTGTCCAGGCCTACACGAGATGAGGCAGGATAAAGAGGGATAATCCCCCTCGATCCCAAATCATTGAGGCCAATTTCTAGCCATAAAATAATGGCGCGATCAGTTATCCTGAGACGCTTACGTACCTCACCAATTGTTTAACTAAAGAAGTTTGACCGAACTAGCATCTAATCTATAGGCTTTTTTTCGCGACTGAATATTGGTGATTGGTGAATATCTGACTTGTAGTCACTATTTCCATCTCTTTTGATCTTAGTTGTCATATGGTAGTTTAAATCTCTTCACTCACTCATACTACACATACCACAACATACATCTTCACTCGCGAAAAAAACCTATATGCCGAACTAGTCCGACCATTCGCTGAACGCAGCCCAAGTACAGAAAAACTTTACCATTGATTTTATAACCATAACCAAAAATATTTTACTTTACTAATCTGTGGGATTGTACTGGAGGTTATGGAACAATTATTTACCTGATAAGAAACATTAAAATTCTGATTAGAATAGAAAATACAGCGAGTATACGTGAAAGATACATTTTGTAGTCTGTGTCTAAATATTAAAAGCGGTACAAACTGCCAAGCCAAGTAATAGAATAATCCATAAGGCAAGTGCTAGAAGTTGTTTTGCTGGAAGTGGTAAGATTAGGTTATTAAGATTAATTTTATGTGTTATGAACTAAGGAATAACCCAATATTTTTTGTAGAACATGGGTGCTACCAGAAATTCTTTGTTTTATGTGAATTGTGTTTTAATTCGTTTCATACTCATGGTGCTTTTTTAAAGCACTGCCCTAATGCACAGGAAAAATATAAAAATATTGATAAACAGTCTTCCATTAAAATGGAAAAAATTGAAATAAAATTGGAAGAAGATAGTCACCAAATGCAGGAGGGATATATAATTGTAGCCAAGCAGCCTGACATTAAATTAGAAGAGATTGAAATAAAGGTAGAGGAAGATCAGGATGGGTAAGGAATGTTAATATATTCAGTAATGTTAAAATTTATTACACTCCTGTTCCATTTTTTGTTGGATTTATTTCCTAAACCTTCCTTTTCCTTATCCAATTTTCAAAAGCTTCTTTCGATTTGTGTTTTTCTAATTTTAATTTTTCAGTGACTTATCTTCCTACAACTTAGAAATAGATAATGAAATAATTGAAAACAAAGGGAGCCATATCTTTGAAGATGAAATAGAAATAAAGGTTGAACCTACGGTTAAATATGAGCCAGAATTTAATGAAAACTTTATGATATCGATGAATAATGAAAAATCTAGATTTAAAAAGTGTGAACCTTCCTTAGACATGCACTTCTACCGATGTGAAAAATGTAAATATGAAACTAAGCTTAAGGTAAATCTTAAAATGCATTTACTAATGTACAGAACCCATTAATTCTAAAATTTTACCTGTTACAGCACAAGGATCTTTTGGAAATCCAAATGTACAAGTGTGATATGTGTAATTCTGAAACTAAACAAAAGAATAATCTAAAACTGCATCAGCTACGGCACAAAGACCTTTCGGAAATTCAGATGTACAAATGTGACACATGTACTTACAATACTAAATATAAGCGAGCTCTAAATAAACATCAGTTAATGCACAAAGATCCTTCGGAAATCCAAATGTACAAGTGTGTTTTGTGTGATTTTGAAACTAAATATAGGGATTGTCTAAAAACTCATGAGTTAATGCACAAAGATATTTCAGAAATTCGAATGTACATGTGTTATATGTGTAGTTATAAAACTAAACGCAGGAGCAATCTAAAACTGCACCTGTTACAGCACAAAGACCTTTCGGAAATCCAAATGTACAAGTGCGATAATTGTAGTTACAAAACTAAACGTAAGAGTCATCTGACACTCCATCAGTTACGGCACAAAGACCTTTCAGAAATCCAGATGTATAGATGTGATACATGTTCTTACAAAACTGTATATCAGAGCATTCTAAACAGACATCAATTAATACACAAAGATCCTTCGGAGATACAAATGTTTAAGTGTGATCTGTGTGATTATGAATCTAAATATAAGAATCATCTAAAAAGGCATCATTTGGTACACAAAAATGTTTCAGAAATCCAAATGTACAAATGTGGTGCTTGCTCTTATGAAACTAAACAGAAGAGTTATCTAAAAAATCATGAGTTGAAGTATAAACACCCCTAGGAAGTCCAAATGCACAAATGTGATGCCTGTAGTTTTGAAAAGAAATATAAAAGATACGTAAAAATGCATCAATTAATACATAAAGCCCATTCTGAAATCCGGTTATACAACTGTGATATTTGTACTTATGAAACTAAATATAAGAATCATCTATGTACGCATCGATTAATATACAAAAACACTTCTGAAATTCAAATGTAGAATTGTAACGTGAATTGTGAAGTCCAATGTAAAAATTTGAAAACTTCGATTAATTCACGAGAATCCGTACACGCACAATTATGGGAATATATTGCGAGCTACTTTAACTACAATATATGAATGTACAAATATAACGAATGTGTTTTCCTAACAAGACATACATCATCTAATTAGGCACCAGGCAATACATAAAAATCATCTGGGACTGGAAGTGTGTCAGCTATTATAAGGACTGTTTTAATGTATTCGTTAAGCATAAAAATAAAGATGAGATGTCTAATAAACCTAATATGATATTCTTAAGGCAATTTTAATATTTTTATACTTTTATTCAAGTAAATCTTGAAATATAACAGTAGATGCATTTTCATAAGTTAATATTAGTGTAATAGTATGCATTCTTTTACCACTCTTACTTTCTGTATTGTTTTATTATTTTTTTTGTTACCAATCAAGCTGGAGTTAATTTTTTTTTGCTGAAATCGTACCAAAATAAATAAATAGTTTTGTTATTGTTGTTATTAAATTTACATATGATCAATAGAAATCATGGCAACTCATATTGGTTCGTCAGACCGTCAGGAAAAATTAATTGAGTTGAATAAAAACGACATGTTGAAGTATTTATATTTGTAAAATTTCACAATTTTCTGCTTCTAATTACAATTTTACAATAATTATCAAAATATAATTCATTCACTAGGTATATATCTATTTTAATTGTAATGCTTAGAATCTACATATAACTTTTCGACTATTTGATATTTTGAGCTAGCCATTCTTGAAATTATCATAAGTTATAACAGACATTTATTTAAGAAACTACACTAGGGATTAAATTTCCTGATTTATGTATTTAAATATTCTTAAATAAGTATGTAATCAACTACAATTGATAAGAAGAGTAATCCTCGTCAGTATTTTTAATTTAATTAATTAAAAAAAAAATACCTCGTATATTGGCATTGGAATTAGATACAACCAGTCTAGGTGTCTCTCAGGAATACGTACATTTACTATAAAGGGTGTACCGCATAAGAACCGACACAGAGCAGTGCATGTAGGGGTGTCCAAAATATTGTAATTTAACCAAACTTACCTATATACAAAGTTGCACGCCTTAGGAGTTATTAACCCCCAAAGTGGGGCCCTAAATTTTGAAAAAAAATTATATCTGCAACAATATCGTAGGAGAACCAAATTTGGTACATGATTTAAGTTTATTATTGGTATTCTTTGACTATGATTTAAAGTTAATTGAAGCACTACAAGGTTTCATTGGGGATGACTCGCTCCTAAAATTGTTCAGAACTTTTTTTCCATTGACCGAATTGAAAAAAAGTAATATTAATTCACAGCAGAATTTAATTTTAAATGTTTTATACTCTTAAATTTTAAAAAACTTTATGGTTTTCAAGAAAAACCGTATTGACTGATACTATATTTTAACATTCATTAGAAAATAATCGGAAAGTCAGTAGTAGGCAATGAATTTATCTTTCAAACATGTCAGTTAGTAATAAAATTATTTTATTTGCCTCTAATTGTTGTTGAAAATGGCTGGAAAATTTACATTTCGCGAACAAGTTGATATGTTTCTTGTGCTGGGTTTCTGCGAATGAAACTGTAGAAGTGTGGAAGAATTTTGTAGGAGATTTCCTAATCGTGTGGTTCCTCATAGAGAAACATTTTCTAATGTTGAAAGACGAGCTCGAGAGACAGGAAAGTTTTTCAGTAACATCCGAGAACGTCCTAATGTGATAGGGGTACAAGATGAAGAAATTATTTTGCAAACAATTGAAGATTAACGGCAAGTAAGTACTAGACGTTTATCTTGGCCGACTGGGTTATCAAGAACTTCTGTAAACCGAATTCTTAAACGTAATCTACCGCATCCATATCGTGTCCAAAAAGTCCAAGAGTTGTTGCCTCAAGATTTGGATCGACGAGTGACGTTTTGTGAGTTTGTTTTGCATCAGGATATTAATTTTCACAAGAAAATTCTTTTTACTGATCAGGCATATGTTACTCGCCCAGGAATTACAAATGTTCATAACTTTCATGAATATTCCGATGTAAACCCTTATGCAATAACTCCTCGACGTTTTCAACACGAGTTTAAGATAAATATTTGGGCCGGTATTATTGATCGTTATTTGATTGGATCAGTTATTTTGCCAAATCGACTAAATGGCGAAAGTTATTTGGAATTTCTACAAAATACTCTCCCTGATCTAATGGAAGATTTACCGTTGCAACTTAGACTGAAGATTTGGTTTATGCATGATTGAGCACCGACTCATTTTAGTGCTACTGTTTGAGATTTTTTGAAACTTAAGTTTCCTAATAAATGGATAGGATGAGGAAATAATTGGCCACCATCGTGGTGACCTCAACAAATGTGATTATTTCCTTTGGGGAAAATTGAAGGATATTGTTTATTCTTCGCCAGTTGAATCCCGAGAAAATTTGTGGAATCGTATTACAAATAAATGTAACCTTTAATTTATGTATCAGGAAAAATGGTGCTCATTTTGAACAATTCCTTTAGTTTTAGTAATTATTATTACATATTTTTTCAAACTGCATTGTATTGTACTTAACATTCTTCAAAATAATTGTGTCTATCCCGATGCTTTCAATTATTATTTTTATTATTTGTGTTTTTTACTTAATACAACATTCGCTTTTTTAAAAACTTCCTAGGTACTTGTTTTCTTTTTGTAGAATTAGGAGAGAAGTGAAGTAAAATTTATTTGGCCAAATTTGAAAGATAAAGCCTACTACTGACTTTTCGATTATTTTCTAATAAACACTGTTAAAATCTTGTGTCAGTTAATACGGTTTTTCTTGAAAACCATAGTTTTTCAAAATTTAACGAGTAAAACAAATTTGAAAATTAAATACCTGTAGTGCTTCAATTAACTTTAAATCATAGTTAAAGAAGACCAGTAATAAACCTAAATCATGCACCAAATTTGGTTCTTCTGTGGTAAAGTGTTGCAGAGATATTAATTTTTTCGAAATTTAGGGCCCCGCTTTGGAGGCTAATATCTCCTTAGGGGTGCACCATTGTATATAGGTAAATTTAGTTAAATTACAATATTTTGGACACCCCTACATGCACCTGCCCTGTGTCGGTTCTTATGCGGTACACCCTGTATACTAAAAATACTATAGGTACAGGGTGATTCACAACTTATTCAAAAAAATTATTGAAGTTGTAGTATTTTCAAGCCTTACATCGCTGGTCTACTGTAGTCTCTAGCGTCAATCGCGACGCACGTTGTGCGCAATGCGCCCCCACTCCACGTGGTCCCAGACGAGTCTGAATACTGAAATTCGGTTTTAGATTAAGGTTTTTGCGATAGTGTTTACATTAGTTTTTTCAAGTATCAAAAATGGCTTACGTGTATAGCTACTCGGAGTTAATGGATATCGTTTTTAATTTATGGTGAAGCAAGACAACATATTTGTGTTAGTTCGTAGAAACTCTATAAGACGGGCCCAAATGTATTTACACGTCGGTGGACAAAATTTTGAAGAGTTGTTATAACATCAGGTATGTCAAATTATTTTATTAATTAAAACCATAAATTAATTTTATTAATTAATGATAACAATAGCAGCAAAATAATTGAATTAGCTGATATAAAACAGGTGTTATAAAATTTTATTTATGTTTTTCAATTCTTTTAATTTTTTGTTCGTTCATTTTTTATTACACTTTGCCGCCATGCTGGTTGCCGACTGCATGATTTGCCTTGCACAAGATCAGGTTTTATAGTTTTAGACCAGTTTCCAGTGCCGTGCAGAAGTATATTTTTAAATCATTTTCGGACTGCCCTTTTTGATTTTTTTCACAAAATTGTATTTGTAAGTCTCCCGTACATTAAAAAATTTTTTTGGGTAAGTTCTGAATCACCCTGTGTATTAAAATCAGAATATAGTTGTGCAATTAGTCAGAAAATAAAATAACATCTCATAAAAATAAGCCAAAAAGAGCAGATTCTATAAAATATGTAATTATATTGAAAACCAAATACAGCAAAAGAACGATAATTATAATGAATTAACAGAAATTATTAAGTATGTAGTCAAAACAAGTACCTAATAAAAATAATAATCTCAAGCAATAGAAAGTATCCTCCAACCTTACGGTGGGATGGTGACTTTTCTTGGTCGGAAAGAAAAACGAAAAAGGTTTTAGCACAATTATTTAGGAGTGAACCTTCACTAGAAAATTATTTAAATGCAAAAAAACATTGCCAGGTCGAAATTAATTGTGAAATATAGAGAAAAAAAATTGAAATATTTTTTTTACTCTTTTTAATATATAATCAGATATATCAATTATAAAAACTAAGTTTTTAAAAAATTACATGAAATTTCCACTCTACGATAAAAAAATCTGTATGTAGGCTAAAATTAAATTACTCTATTTGTTCAATCAATACATAGAAAAATATATCGATATACATTCTATTTTTTCGATTTTTAATGGTTTGAAGACAATACATGTTGGAATAACCTGGTATATTTAAAAAAAAAAGAAAGTACTACATAAGTTAGCTTCCGTCTGTGTCAAAAGAGGGCTGCTGTAACTCTAATAGCGATTTCCATTGGGGAAAACTCGGGCAGCACTGACACTTCACTGGTTGTATGAGAAATATGCTCTGGTGCAATCTCAATGGAATGATTGGAATGACAATTTTTGCGTGGGTTTCTGACATTATAAGTTATGTTTATGTTTTGATTTTTATTCAGTCAAAGTAACAGTTGTCCAGTTGAAGTTTTTCAAAGAGGGTAGTTACAATGAACCAAGAATTAAATTTGATATTTAAAATAAACGACGAGGAAGTTACATTGTGTATTCCTGTAGACGAAACGGATCATTTATTTAAGTTTGCACCAGTTTTCTCAATGGAAATCGCTATAATTGACGAAAATGGAATAACAGGTGTCAAGTTTCTAAGGTCTGTGCCATAAAAACTTTAATTTACTAAATTTTCTATGGGTCTATGGACGATATAATATTTTAGTAAATTAGTAATCTGTGGGTTTGTAGGTTATGGTATAGTTATGTATATCGTTGTTAAAAACGTTTAGAATTTTTATCAGAAAGGAAAAATAAAATGCATCCAGTAAACAACTCGAAAGAAAGATTTTGTAGGCTGTGTATGAATGTTATAAGCGATACAAATTGCCAAGCAATAGGAGAAGCCATAAGGGACGTTCTAGAAATTGTTTTGCCAAACGTGGTAAGATCACGTTATTAATATTAATTATAAGTCTTTATATAATTATTTTTGATAATTCTAATGACAAATATATTTCAGAACTTGGAGGAGCGAAATAAACATGTAATATGTATAACATGCTCCATAAAATTATCAGACGCTTTTAATTTTAAGTCGACATGTATGGATACTGAAGATATTATTTCTGCATATGTTAATTCCAGTAAAATGTCAGTGGTTGACTTAAAAGAGGTTTATCTAAAGGAAAATGGCAATATTCAGTTAACTGATATATTGGAAAATCAGAAAATATGTTTATTATGTATTCAATTGATAACACGTGGATCTGTTTCAGTAAATGAAGTGGACGTTGATATAATTGAAAAGTTTATGTCTCGACAAGTAAGTATACCTCAGAGTACTTTTTAAGGAATTGTTTGTATGTTGAAATATGTACAGTTATATTTTATTTCTCATGTTTCATTGAACTTCCTAAATAGTTTAGTGGGGTAATGGTGTAAGTCAGTTGTGTGTAAATCTAAAATACATACCATTTTTATTCAGTTTTAGCTATTCCCCTAGTGAATAACACTAATATTTCTGTATTGTAGAACATTGGTTGTACCAAGGATTCTTTTCTTTGTGAATTATGTTTTGATTCGCTTCGTACTCATGGTACTTTTTTAAAGAACTGCTTTGATGCGCAGGAAAAATATAAAAATATCGACAAACGGTCTTACATTAAAACTGAAAATATTGAAATAAAACTGGAAGAAAGTCATGATATGCAGGAGAAATATAGAAGTACTGATAAGCAACCTTACATCAAATTTGAAGAAATTGAAATAAAGGTAGAAGATCAGGATAGGTAAGGAAATGTTGATATATTTTGTAATTTTAAAATTTATCACTGTTTTTGTTTATTTGTTAGATATTTAAATGGATATTTATTATTATATATATATATATATTATTTGGATTTATGTTTATATAATTTTAATTTTTCAGTGATCCACTTTTGTACCACTTGGAAAATGAAACAATTAAAAACAAAATGGGGTATACTTTTGAAGATGAAGGGGAAATAAAGCGTGAAGATATACTTAAATGCGAGCCGGGATTTAATGAAAACCTTGTGTTATCAATGTCAGTTCCCAGTATCCAAATATGCAATTCTGAAGAGTCTAGATTTGAAAAGGGCGAACCTTCGTTAGATGTGCAGTTCTACCGATGTGAAAAATGTAAATATGAAACTAAGCTTGAAGCGGATCTGCAAACTCATCGGTTAATACATATAACCCCTTCAAAAATTCAGGTGTTTATGTGTGATATGTGTAGCTATGAAACTAAACGTAAGGCTCACTTAAAACTGCATCAGTTACAGCACAAAGACCTTTCAGATATCCAAATGTACAAGTGTGCCAGGTGTAGTTTTGAGACTAAATATAGGAATTCCATTAGAGCTCATCAGATAACGCACAAGAACACTTCAGAAATCCAAATGTACACGTGTGATACGTGTACTTACAAAACTAAGTATAAGAGAGTGCTAAACAGGCATCAGTTAATGCACAAAGACCCTTCGGAAGTCCAAATGTACATGTGTGATTCCTGTTCTTACAAAACTAAACTTAAGAGTAATCTAAACAGGCATCAGTTAGTGCATAAAAATATTTCAAAGACAGAAATATATAAATGTGATGATTGTGCTTATGAAACTAAAGATAAGAGAAATCTAAAAGACCACCAATTAAAGCACAAAGACCCCTCGGAAGTCCAAATGTACAAATGTGATGCCTGTAGTTTTGAAACTAAACGAAAGAGACATCTTAAAATGCATCAGTTAATACACAAAGACCCTTCGGAAATCTACGTGTACACATGTGATACTTGTACTTATGAGACTAAATATAAGAATCATCTAAGTAAGCATCAGTTAATACACAAAGACACTTTGGAAATTCAAGTGTAGAAGTGTGACATGTAGTTATAAATTTAAATGTAAATATTTGAAAAATCTTCAATACATGAGAATTCTCCACAACACGATTGTGGGAATGTGATATGGGAAACTATGACAAATGGACATAATGGAAGTGTTTTCAAGATTAAATATAATAAATTTTGAGACTAAGATAGAGATTAGATATCTAATAAATCAAATATAACATTCTTAATGCTATTTAAATATTTTTGTACTGTTATTCAAGTAAACTGAAATATAATAGTAAATGCATATTATATTAAGTATAACTTAATGTAGTCACTACTATACTGCGGCCATATTTTGTCACTCTTATTTTCTGTTTTATTAATTTTTCTTATTAATTTGGCTGAAGTTAATAGTAGTTTTTTGCAGAAATTTGTCCAAGGTAAATAAAAATATTAATTTTAAATATATGTAGAAACAATAGAAAGGAACCATACATTATGCAAGTATATAGATACTGTAAAGAATTTCTTTTATATAACACAATTTTTATTCACGCAGTTTACAACTGTGACAACGTTGATAATTAACAAAATAATTAACCTCCAAAAAAAAAACTCCGTTAGCCAATGAACTATGTACACACTTAAAAAGAGTACCATGTTTTCTTTTGTGTCAGGGGCATAGAAAAGAAAGTCATATACGGGAGGGATTTGTATCTCTCTTCATTACATTATTGTTTATGAGAATTTTACAAGACAAAGAACAAATTCTTCAAAGAGTAGAAGAAAATCAACCAAATTCTGAGAAAAAATCGTTTGATCCTTGTATCCTTTGAATTTTTCCCTTTTTCACTATACAAGGTGTATATAAATAACACCGAAAAAATATAAGGAGCGTTTCTCTGATTAAAATTAATAGCGGTCTGGTATAAAAGTTTTTCAAAAAACCAATGAAATGTTACTCCCCTCCCAAAATAAAAAATCTTGCTTTTTATCTTCCATGTATATCAGTCTAAAGAAACCAAATAAAACTAATTATAAATTTAAAACAATAAATTTGAAGATAGGCCACGATCAACATATTTAATCATTTCTTAAAATACACTTGCGCTAAACAGCTCTTGTTTTTAAAAATGCATTGCAATACATTTATTTTTTTTCTCGTAAATCCTTAACTTTTCGAAAAAACTTGGAGATCAAATAGTTAGTAAATGAATGGGGCGTTTTAGACATATTTTTTAAAAGGAAAAAATTATAAGAAAAAATGTCGTGGGGGTTGATTATTTCAATCCCTTAGAAAATTACTTCAGGGTTGAAAAAATTTCAAAAAGTTTTTTTGACAGATAATGTTCACCCAGTTTGGATCTTTTAGCTTGGAAGATAAAAGAAAAAAGAACAATTTTTTCTTGAAATTTTTGGCGGGATGTAACATTTCAGGGGTTTTTTCAAAAAAATTTGATCCAAAAACCCCTATTAATTTTCATCAGAGAATTGCCCCTTACTTTTTTTCGGTGTTATTTAGATACACCCTGTAGGGGGTCATACTATATGTATGAGTCCTTTAGTGCGTAACTCTTCAGTATATTATCCAGGGTGCGTAACTAAATCCTAATATATATTTCAATTTGTGACGGAAATTTGCGAAATTACGAATTTTTCAGACTTGAAGAATAAAAAAATCATTTGACTTTGGTAGCCTTTGAATTTTTCCGTTTCTCTGATGTGTACGATTGTTTAGAACATGTAAATCTCAATCTGAGACGACCAAATTTGCGGAATCTATGTATGAATTTTTTTAATCCGTTGAGAAATAGTTCTACTCCAAGGCTGGTATATCCTAAGTTGCCTCATAACTCCGCTAACTAATGGGAACTAATTGGCGCGCTGACGTCAGCCTGTATGCTACTTTTAAATGAACTTCCGAGTTTTACACTTAAAAAATATATTTTTATTGTATTTTGGAAATACTATTTTAACATAATATTTCTTGTATTGTCAATTTTAAATAGTATTTAGTAAAGTTATTATAGATATTTTACCTACTAATGAATTAATTCCAATTGAAAAAATAATATTCTAAATTACATTAATTTTTTTAAATGTTGCACATATCTATTGTCTGAAGCTATTTATTTGTGGCGTAATTTTAGTTCTTTGTTTGCTTCATTGGGTATTTTGCCACCTGNTTTGAAGATAGGCCACGATCAACATATTTAATCATTTCTTAAAATACACTTGCGCTAAACAGCTCTTGTTTTTAAAAATGCATTGCAATACATTTATTTTTTTTCTCGTAAATCCTTAACTTTTCGAAAAAACTTGGAGATCAAATAGTTAGTAAATGAATGGGGCGTTTTAGACATATTTTTTAAAAGGAAAAAATTATAAGAAAAAATGTCGTGGGGGTTGATTATTTCAATCCCTTAGAAAATTACTTCAGGGTTGAAAAAATTTCAAAAAGTTTTTTTGACAGATAATGTTCACCCAGTTTGGTTCTTTTAGCTTGGAAGATAAAAGAAAAAAGAACAATTTTTTCTTGAAATTTTTGGCGGGATGTAACATTTCAGGGGTTTTTTCAAAAAAATTTGATACCAAAAACCCCTATTAATTTTCATCAGAGAATTGCCCCTTTTTTTCGGTGTTATTTAGATACACCCTGTAGGTATACTATATGTATGAGTCCTTTAGTGCGTAACTCTTCAGTATATTATCCAGGGTGCGTAACTAAATCCTAATATATATTTCAATTTGTGACGGAAATTTGCGAAATTACGAATTTTTCAGACTTGAAGAATAAAAAAATCATTTGACCTTGGTAGCCTTTGAATTTTTCCGTTTCCCTGATGTGTACGATTGTTTAGGACATGTAAATCTCAATCTGAGACGACCAAATTTGCGGAATCTATGTATGAATTTTTTTAATCCGTTGAGAAATAGTTCTACTCCAAGGCTGGTATATCCTAGGTTGCCTCATAACTCCGCCAACTAATGGGAACTAAGTGAGGAATTGGCGTGCTGACGTCAGCCTGTATGCTACTTTTAAATGAACTTCCGAGTTTTACACTTTAAAAATATATTTTTATTGTATTTTGGAAATACTATTTTAACATAATATTTCTTGTATTGTTAATTTTAAATAGTATTTAGTAAAGTTATTATAGATATTTTACCTACTAATGAATTAATTCCAATTGAAAAAATAATATTCTAAATTAAATACTTAAAGCATAAAATTAAAAAATCAAATCTATTACCTTAATTTTTTTAATTGGTACACATATCGTCTGAATCCATTTATTTGAGGCGCGCCATTATTCTATGGCTAGAAATTGGCCTCAATGATTTGGGATCGAGGGGGATTATCCCTCTTTATCCTGCCTCATCTCGTGTAGGCC